GAATCTTCTGTGTGTGTGTGTGTGTATTCTGCTGTTTTTGTGTATATGTCTGGCCTAATTTTTTTGTAGTTTTGCTAAAGTCCTCTATTTCCTAATTGAACTTCTGACTAGTTATTCTATCCATTAAAGTTGTATTGAAGCATCCAACTTCCTTCAGTACTGCCTCTTTTCTCCCGTCAGTTGTCATGTATTAAGTATCTTATATCTTGATTGATTGACCCTTATTATCAGTATTCAGTGTCTGTTATATATCAGTCTTTGACTTGAGCTCTGTATCGTCTGATAGCAATAGAGCTATTTACAATGATTGAATTGATTCCCCCAGAAAAGGTATTGAGTACCTGCGACTATGACATTATTTGGAAGTATGATCTTTGCAGACAAGCAGGTCTTTGTGGTGATTTCTTATGGCCACCCTAGGAAACTAACGCAGAAGTGGAGTGTTGCTGCAGCAGAATACCTAAAAATGTGGAAATGGTTTCGGTTAATGGCCAGTGGCTGGGAGAATTCTGAGGCACTTAATCAAAAAAGAGCTACCTAGATTGCCTCAAGGCTGGCAGAAATATGGGAATTCAAGATGACCAGGGGAGGCCTTAGAAGGAAGCGATGAACATGTTACTGGACAGCAGAGGAAAAGTGATCCTTGTTACACAGTGGCAGAGAACTTGTCTGAATTGTGCCTGTTGGGTGAAAAGTGGAACATCTAAGTGATTAACTTGTATATATACTGAGAAGATTTCCAAGAAAGTGTGGGAAGTGCAGCCTGGTTTCTACTTGCTGCTTATACTAAAATGTGAGAGGAAAGAGAAATCGAGGAATGAACTGTTAAGCAAAAAGGAACCAGCACTTGCTATCTTTCTGTCTTGTGTGCCCATTAATATAGATTTTTAATTATTGTTTTATACGTTTGTCTTTTAAGTCATGTAGGAGAAAAAGTTAAAAAACCAAAAATACAATAATACTATTTTATATTTACTTACGTTATTACCTTTATACCTGTTTTCATTTCCTCGTATGGCTTTGAGTTACTGTCTAGAGTCCTTTCATTTCAGCCTTTCAGACTCTATAGCCTGCCTGCCTGCCTGCCTGCCTGCCTGCCTGCCTGTCTTCCTTCCTTCCTGCCTTCCTGCCTTCCTGCCTTCCTGCCTTCCTGCCTTCCTGCCTGCCTGCCTGCCTGCCTGCCTGCCTGCCTGCCTTCCTGCCTTCCTTTTCATTTAAAAAAGTTAGACATTTATACAGTCCATGAAGCTATCCCCCCAATGACTCTAGCACCCATCTGGCATTACACACAGCCATTGCAATAATGTTGACTCTGTGCCCTGTGCTATGCTCTAAATCCCTATGACTGTTTTTTAACTATTAATTTGTGCTGCTGCTTCCTTTCACCTTTTCCCTATAGCATTTCTTGTACGGCAGGAGCAACGAACAGCTTTTGTTTATCTAGGAATGTTTTAATTTCTCCATTTTTAAAGGTAGTCCCTCTGCTTTCTGGTCTCCATGGTTTCTGATGGGAAACAGGCTATTACTCTTACTGAGCATCCTTTATACCTGATAAGTCACTTCCTTGCTGTTTTCAAGGTTCTCTCTTTTAGTTTTTGACAGTTTGATTATAATGCATCTTGTCGTGGAGCTCTGAGTTTATCCTTTTTGGAGTTCGTTGAGCATCTTATTTGTGTAAATTCATGTCTTTTAATTTGGGGACGTTTTTGGCCTTTATTTCTCCAAGTATTTTTTCTGCTCCATTTTCTGTGCTCCCTTTGGGACTCTCATGTGTATGTTGGTATGCATACTGGTCCCACAGGTATCTCAGGCTCTGTTTATTTTTCTTCATTCCTTTTTCTGTCTGTTCTCCAGACTAGAGACTCTCAGTTAACCCATCTTATAGTTGGCTGATTCATCTCCTGTCTCACATCTGCTGTTGGGTGAAACCCTCCACTGAATTTTCATTTTAGTTATATTTTTCAGCTCCAGAATTTGGTTCCTTTTTTACAATTACTATTTCTGTTGACTTTCTCTATTTGTTGTAGTACCCTTCTCCTGGTTTCCTTTAATTCTTTGTCAGTGGTTTTCTATAGCTCTTTGAGCATATTTTTTTTAAAAGACCATATTCTTTGTCTTGCGTGGTCTCTAAAAGCTGTTTCCTTTAGCTTGTTGTGTTCAACAAGTAAATTGACAGATTTTTTTTAAATGTCTTGCTTAACTTTTTCTTGATTCAGTGTTTACTTGATTGCTGTAAACCTTTCTGAAAGATTTTCCAGAGTTTTTACAAAATTGATTCTGGCAGAGAGGGAAGGAGGGAAGGAAAGTAGAAGAAAGAGCTGAGGGGGGGAGGGCGGGGTGGGTAGAGAGGGGCAGGAGAGAGAGAAGGGGAGAGAGAGAGAGAGAGAGCACACGCGCGCTATTGAAGGACATTTTTGCTGATATCACTCTGACAATTTTTTAAGGCGAGTTTTGGGGGATGGATGTGGTCTTCAATAAGACACGTTATTATGCTTTATTTCTAACGATAAGCAATTCTCATCAGGTTGCTATCATTTGTCTAGTGGCTACGATCCACAGTATGAGAAGGGGTGGGCTCACAGTTCTTTCGTTATGAAGAAGAAGAGCTCTTTATGGGGTGCAGGAAGATTATAGAGTGTGTTTAAAGTCCAAACTGGCGTAGTTGGTTTGAATAAATTTTCCTTCCATTATTTAATGTTATAATACTTTATGGAAGGTATTGACTGACTCCCTTTGAAGAAATTCTTTTAAAAGCAGTCATGACCTATATGTAAAAGTCCTTGATTACTGGTCATAAGACAGGATTTTTAGATCTAAGTCTGCTTAGCTAGTTTTGTGATCTTGACCAGGTTATCTTCTTTGGTCTTCCAGTTACTTTATGATGAGTAAAACTTACTGGATTGTAGTTAGACTAGAGCGATTTTAAGATGTTTTCAACTGTAGCCCTTTCTTATTTTATTTTGATACTTAAAGTAGATCACGGGGAGGGTAGGAAACGGAACAGAGTAGAAAGGAAAACTGAACAGAAATGCACATCTGATTTAATAATTATGGCAGGTTCTTAAGTTCCCACTGCTGGTCGTCTCTACATTTCAAACTAATTTTATTCTGTTGCCTGAATATATTCTCATAAAACCTTTAAACAGTATAGTTAAAGCTGAAGTAGACCCTAGTCACCACCTTGTTCCACAGTGGAGGAAGCTGTATTTTACAGATCTTTTTACACATACATACACAATGTCTGTATATATTTTTTCATTTAACAATGTTTTTGCCAACAATTCATGTCATTTTTTATAGATCCTCTATGTAACATTTCATCTTGGTAATATGGTTTATTTCAACACTTCCTTGTTGGTGGAAGGTTAGGTTATTTTCATTCTTTATCTGTTATAAACATGCTCAGTGAACCACTGTGTGCTAGTTTGTTTTCCTAGGGTCAAAGCTTCAAGATGGAATTGATGGGTGTATTTTTGGACCTTCCCCGAAGATGACTAGTGTTTATCAATTTCTTGCATTATCTTTCCAGAACTATTATTATTTCTATAAGAAGCATAAAACATATATAATATTTGAGTATTACATGAATATTGGATTTTTGCTCAATTAAGTGTCATGGACTTGATTTCCATGCTGTTGCCCATTGACTAGATGTATCAAAATTCTTATAACCAGTCACCTCCTGATATGTAGTTTTCTACTCTTTTACTACTAAAAACAATGCTGTAATGACTATATGTGTCATTTTATAAGTGATTGTGGTTTTGTAGGATAAATTCCTAGTAGCAGAAATAAATATGAAGAGATGTGTGCATTTATAATTCTGGAAGATATTGCCAAATTGTCCTCCGTAGAGGTTTTGGCAGTGCACGTGCCCTGGTCTGTGTTGGACGCCTGTTGTCCTGCAGCCTGGCCTGTGTGCTGTGCTGTCAAGCATTTGGATTATTGCCTATATGATAGGGGAACAATGGTGTCACACTATCATTTTCATTTAAATTTCTATTATTATGGGTGGATTGAGCTTTTTTGTTGTTGTTTGCATGTTTGAAAGCCATATTGTTTACCGAGTTATCATTTTTCGATTGGGCTGTTAGACTTTGCCTATAACGGAATTCGCGATGCAGAAAATTTTTTATGTAGTCAGCTATATCAGTCCTATGACGTGAAATTTTCTGCTATTCTTAAGAAGGCCTTTACCATTCTGAGGTTATTAAAAGACTGTTCTATCATCGAAATAGCCTAACTTTAAATATACTAACTCATGTAGAGACAAGTAATAAGCTACTCTAGGTTTGAAAGCCAATTTCTAAACGTTTTTGTTATCTATTGCACAGAAGAGGGTGACCCTACCTTATCTAATTCTCCCTTAAAAGCCTGGGGACATACAGGGTAACAGTAGCAGATGGTGTGTGTGCCTGTGTGCGGTGTCTTATAGAACAACTGGAACAGAACGGCACCAGGGCTGGCCTTGGTCGAGTTTTGCCCTGTAGGTTAATTTAAACTCGTGCCATGATTTCTCAGTGAAACTGCGAGGGTCAAGGGGAGGCGTTCATGGTACGGAGTCCCTCTTCAGCAACTCCTTGACAGTGTCAGTGGTTAGAACATCCAGACCTGTGATTCTTTTCAAGTGAGTCATCTTTCTGGGATCACTCACTTTAGTTTCTTTTGTCTTAGATCTAAATGTTAGATTTCCATTAATTGAATATACTTTGATATATTTTACATGCTCCTCTTAGCCATTCACTTTTTAGTAGATAAAGCAGTATAAAATTAACTACTTTACAAGATGAAGTTTTTTCTTTAGAGAGATGACAGTAAGGATATGTTTTATTTGATTTTTCTTCCATTTTGTGTTTTCTGTTATTTCATTTAAAAATCTAAGGGTTTTTCCCCTGAAAAAAAATCCATCTTTTCATTGAGTACATGTATAATATTAGGTATACAGAGATGGTTATTGCTTAACTGTAAACTTAACAAGAATGGTATATGTTTTCATCTAGATCCCAAGGAAGAGAAAGAGGAAGAAGACGATTCTGCCCTCCCTCAGGAAGTTTCCATTGCTGCAGCAAGGCCCAGCCGGGGCTGGCGCAGTAGCAGCAGGACGTCTGTCTCTCGGCATCGCGACACAGAGACCACCCGAAGCTCTAGGTCCAAGACTGGTTCGTTGCAGCTCATCTGCAAGTCGGAACCAAATACAGATCCGCTTGATTATGGTACAGTGCAAGTAGAGTGTGATTATTTTAAGAGCCAGGGGCCTGTTGATTTTACACGTACTGCCGAACATTTTCCAAAACAGCTTGACTTTCAGGGACGGGCAGGTGTGGTGGTCTAGGAACGGGTTCCTTTTTGACAATTTGCAGATGTTCTCCTTTTGTGTGATTACCTCAGATAGTAATTTGCTTCGAGTCTCTCAGTTACAGGGAGAAAATATACCTACATAA